GGGGTGGGCTGGAAATGATGGCTTTAAAAAATTCATTTGAAGAGATATCATGTGGGTAGATACTATAGATTTTTTTGGCTTAGTCCCTAAGAGCAGAACTGAAGGCACTGATCGGAAGTTGTAGAGAGGACAATTTAAGTTTGATTTCCAGGTGTTCCAAGTTGAATGAGCTGACTCAGGAAACGGTAGTTTCTCCATCCTTGGAGGTCTTTAAGCAAAGAGTGGATGACAGTACTGGAAGCTGGAGAGGGTTCATGTACAAGTTAGTCTTGAAGACTTCTGGCTAATATTCTGTTATCTAGGGATTCCATTCATTCCACGAACATTTGTAAAGTGTACCTTCTGTATACTAGCTGCTAGGGGAGAGACAAATGCAACATCCTGTTATAATAATTAGGTTCATCTTAAGCCTAGGGACAATAAAATGGCCTGAAGGTGCACATGGTTTATTCCTTTTTTAGCTTTAGTAAATTTCTTTTAAACAAAAGGTTAACAATTGCTCTGAGTCCCCAGTAAGGGAAATCGCTAACATTTAGGTAGAATTTGGGGTCTTTGCTAAAATATGTATTTATATCTAGCTCTAATTAACCATTGGCCTCTTTGTGGTTGAAGCAAAATTCAAGTTTACTGGAAACAGTTGGGTAGTGAAACAGCAGGTTTTACTATAGTATGTATAAATAGACGGGCACTGGGAGATGGGGGAAAGAATGGGCATTTTCTTGGGACTTCCCTTGGCCCTGAGTGGGTGGGTATATTAGTACATCAGCTCTTATACATAAATATTCAAATGGCAGCTCAAAAGTATATGTGGTATTTAACTGGCCATTTCTTATTGTGGATCCTTTGTATGGTGATTTACCATCTCCAGTGCTTTGTAAAGAGTTCAGCCTGTTGTTGGGCTAAAGTCTGTGCTTGACACTTGATAAATATGTTTATTTTCTTTCTCTTTCTCTCTTTCTCTCTCTCTTTCTTTCTTTCTTTCTTTCTTTCTTTCTTTCTTTCTTGGTTAAGTGACTTGCTCAGGGTCACACAGCTAGTAAGTATCATGTGTCTGAGGTTGGATTTGAACTCAGGTCCTCCTGACTCCAGGGCCAGTACTCTATACACTGTGCCATCTAGCTGCCCCAATAAATATATTTTCTAAGACAAGAAAGAGGCAGCTAGGTGGTGTGGTGGCTAGAGTACCAGCCCTGAAATCAGGAAGATCCGAGTTCAAATTTGTCCTCAGACTTCTACTAGCTGTGTGACCCTGGCCAAGTCACTTAACTCCTATTTACCTCAGTTCCTTATCTTTAAAATAGGGATGTAACCATTCTAGTGTCTTTGCCAAGAAATCCCCATGGACAACTCCATGGGTTACAAAGAGTCAGACATGACTGAATGGCTGAACAACAACAAAGAAAACTCCACTTTAGGTGTATGTTGAAGATAATATTTTTCTCCCTATTGATTGTTGCTTTTCGTGATGTGTGTGTGGTAGAGTTAAATCAGTTTAGAATTAGTTAAGATAGAGTCACATGCTATGAATTTCCAATAAAGTCTTCTTAAAATGCATTTATGTTTCATGGACCTCTACATTTCTTTCTTTTTTTAAAAGCCATTTGTAGTGTTTATTTACTCATTTCCTTTTCTAGTCACTGAAATCATAGCAAAGATTACAGTAATTTCCTCCCCGCCCCCAGCCAGTCAGAGTTAAGTGACTTGCTCAGGGTCTCACAGCTAGTGAGTGTTAAGTGTTTGGTCTAAGGACGGATCAAATTTCACTTCTGATATGACTATGTGTGATCTTGGGCAAGTCACTTACCATTCTTGGGTTTTGGTTTCCTCTATAAAAGGAAGGATGGTCTGTGGGATCCCTGGGACTCTGAATCTGTAATTCTAATTTCCAATTTGCATTCTGCCCAGAGAGAGATTGATGCCTAGCCATGGACATTTCACTTGAGACAAATAAGTCTCAAGAAGACCACTAGAAATATTGTAGGAGGAGGGGTAAAGCTGGAAAAATTTGGAAACTGGGATGGTCAGAGAAGGGAGATAATGGGAGATATGGGGGTCTGGGATTGGAGAAGAAAGAGCTAATGCCCTAAACCTCAGCCATCAGCCTAGGGATAACTGGACATGGTTCTTAGGGTGTAGTCTGAGAGGAGGACTACCTACTTAGAGATCTCAGAAGTGGAGCAATGCTTTGTGATCACAAATGCAAGGTTATTTCCTTACTGGTGAATTAGTGATGGGCATTATTCCTCCCTGAAAGGAATCATGAAGTTGAGTTATCTGTACGGTCTTCTAGATGGATGTCAGAATTACCAAGGATGACAGCAAATGGGGTAAGGAGGAAGAACTTAGGTCTGTTTAATTGATCTTATTGACTCAGAGAACAGGATGGCCAGAGTCAAAAAGCAAAGTATTTCAATGACTGATCTTATGGCTATCATTTGTGGGCAGGTATTCAAGAATTGGTATGGGTGACATAATTGCATAAATCATTTGCTGGGTTAAAATGAATGATCGTAGAGTCATAAGTCTGGAAGGGACCTCAGAGATGATTTCTGAGCCTGAAGTCCAACCCCTTCATTTTACAGATGAGGAAACTGAGGCCAGGGAGGTTAAGGGACTTCCCCCAGATCACACAAGTAGGAAATAATAGATGTGAGATTTGAATCCAGGGAGGTCTGCTGACTCCAGAGTCAGTGTTTTTTCTATTGTGTTGCATGGCAAGAAAACCACTTTTCTGAAACTGGTATTCATATATTAATTTTCAGACATTAGATGTATTAGGGCAAAAACTCCCTATCCTAAAGCAAAAAAAAAATGTAATGCTATTTAACTATAGTTCAGTTTAATCATTAACTAGAATTTCTGTATAACTTATCTGATGAACTTTCTTTTTATAAAATGTTTTTATTAATTTTGTTAAATATTTCCCAATTAAGTGTAAAATTTTTAACTATTTTTTCCTAACATTTTTAGTTCCAAATTCTCTTTCTCTCTCCCACTCCCTCCTCCTTGCAAAGGAAAACAATTGATATTGATTATACATGTGATACCATGCAAACATATTTTCATATGAGCCATGTTGCAAAAGAAAACACAGACAAAAAAAAGAAAGAAAAATATGCTTCAATCTGCAGAGTTCATCAGTTCTCTCTCTGGGGGTAGACAGCATTTTTCAACATGCTGGGAACTGCTTTGGATCATTGTCCTGATTAGAGTAGCTAAGTCTTTCAATAGCTGATCATTCTTACAATATTGCTGTTACGATGTACAATGTTCTGTTGGTTCTGCTCACTTCACTTTGCATGAGTTCATATAAGTCTTCCCAGGTTTTTCCGAAACCATTCTGCTCATCATTTCTAATAGCACTATAGTGTTTCATCACAATCATATATTATAACTTGTTTAGCCATTCCCCAATTGATGGGCATCCCCTTGGCTTCTAATTCTTTGCCACCCCCAAATAAGCTGCTATAAATATTTTTGTACAAATAAGTTCTTTTCCCTTTTCTTTGATCTCTTTGGGATATAACTCGTAGTGGTATCACTAGGTCAAAGGGTATGTCCAGTTTTATAGCCCTTTGGGCATAGTTCCAAATTATTTTTCAGAATGGTTGGATTAGTTCACAACTCCACCAACAGTGTATTAGTGTCCTAATTTTCCCACATCCCCTCCAACATTTGTCATTTTCCTTTTCTGTCATATTAATCAATCTGACAGGTGTGAGGTGGTACCTCAGAGTTGTTTCAATTTGTGTTTCTCTAATCAGTAGTAATTTAGAGCATTTTTCATGTGACTATTGGTAACTTTGATTTCTTCTTCTGAAAACTGCCTGTCCTTATCCTTTGACCATTTGTCAACTGGGGAATGGCTCTTATTTTTTTTTTATAAATTTGGCTCACTTCCCTATACATCTGAGAAATGAGGCCCTTACTAGAGAAACTTACTATAAAATTCTGCCTCCCCTCTGTTCCTGTTTTCCATCTACTTTTGGCTTCATTAGTTTTGTTTGAGCAAAAGCTTTTTAATTTCACATCATCAAAATAATCCATTATAGGGGCAGCTAGGTGGCACAGTGGATAGAGCACTGGCCCTGAAGTCAGGCATACCTGACTTGAAATACGGCCTCAGACACATAACACTCACTAGCTGTGTGACTCTTGGCAAGTCACTTAACCCAATTGCCTCACCCCCCCCCCAAAAAAAAATTCATTATACTTCCAATGGTCCTCTCTATCTCTTGTCTAGTCATAAACTCTTCCTTTACCTGATGAACTTTCAAAGGCAAAAGAGTTTCTTTATGAGGCTCTCAGCTATCCAACATGGCAGAGTGGAAACAAATTTGGATTTGGAGTCAGACGGTTTTGGGGTGAAATCCAGCTGCTACCTGCCTGCTCTTTGGCAAATCATTCACCTTCTCTGGGTCTCAGTTTTATCATTTGGAAAAAGAGGAGGGTTAGTAGATAATATTGAAGTTTCCTTGTAACTCTAAATTTATGATACTATGAACATGGGTCAGTTAATGCTAAAGTCCTCAAAGAAAGAGAAGGGTAGGGGGTACTAGGGAAGAAGAATTGGGGTCTGGTAGATAAACAAGAGTAACATTAAGTGGTAGGGGAAAGTAGCACGAACCTTGAATGTGAAGGAACAAGGGTAGTGAGATTTTTTTTCTTTAAATGTCATTGGAGAGTAAGGAAAAGACTGACCTACTCTTGCTTGAATCAGGGGGCAGATTCTTAATGGAAAAGAGAAGCTTGGTTATTGGGGACTGCTTGGCTTCTGTAGTGTTAAGATGAAACAAGAAGTTAAAAAGAGGTAAAAAATGAATGGAACTGTAAAGGACCTATGAAGGAAGATGCTATCCACCTCCAGAGAAAGAACTGATAAATAGAAGTACACATAGTACAGCTGTATGTATGTGTGTATGTATGTATGTATGTATGTATGTATGTATGTATGTATGTATGTATGTATGTAACTATGTGACCCTGGACAAGTTATTTAATGCCTCAAATATCTATTGATATTTACCATATTAGAATTATAATGACAGTGTTGTTATGAAAATAGTTTTGACTTTGTGGACTTCCTGAAAACACACTTTAAGAACCTCAAACCTATGGCAATTTCTGAGCTAAGGCTAGGGGCTCAGGCCTTCCCTTCCATTATGCTCTTAAGCCAGTCCACGTAGCTGAGGACTTTGGTGTAGAAGCCATACCCTTTGCTGCAATCAATGCCCCAGGACACAATGCCTGTGGCCATCCAGCGCTCTGTGGTATTGTCCCACACAGCAAAGACTCCTCCACTATCCCCCTGGCAAGCATCTTGCTTTATGGTTCTGTTTCCAGCGCAGAACATGTTTGAGGAAAACACCTCAGTTCTGTTTTTCTCCAGAAGCCAGGCCTCACAAGCCTCTCGCTTAGCAATGGGCAGACTCACATATTTTAGCTGGCTAACCAGCCGGCCCCTTTCCATCCCAAAGCCACTGACATAGCCCATCAAGCCGCTGCTATAGAGAGTCTCATTGTCTGGCAAACAGATGGGGAGGAGGTTGGGGCTCAGGAGGACACTTTTTTCTAATTCCAGCAGTGCAATGTCACCTTCAAAGTTGTTTGGCTCTTCTGGGCGGTAGTCTGGGTGCACAATGACCCTACGGACGGAGTGAGCCCCCAGCCTTATGATCTCCTCTATGTCTGTGTGTCCTAGGAAAACATTTACACTCTGGTTCTTCTGGAAGAAGCTGTCCTTAGGGTAGATGGTATGAGCAGCTGTGAGGATCCAGCGATCTCTAAGCAGAGCTCCTCCTCCACGCCCATAGATAATGGTGAGTGCCTGCCATGGGAAATTTCCCAGCTTTGCTTTGGCTGTACCAGGGGCCCCCTGGTTCTGGTCAATAGGAGTGGATGGTTGCCCACACACTGGAAGTCAAGAGAGGAAAGGAAGAAAATGTCATTTAAATCATCATAACCAAAGTACATGGTTGAAGAACTTATTTCTATGGCAAACTGTCCACCCTACAAAGAGAGTCACACAGCTACCTCCCTCTGCTAAGAATGAGGTTCAGGAAAATAAATGTTTAAGACAGGTATAAATCTTGGATCTAGAACAGTTAGCAATGCAAACAATAAAGAAATGTAGACAAAATCATGTATATTACAGATAAGTGAACTGAGTACTCGTGAGCAAGAAATGAGGGCTTATTTTTGAATTGGCTCACCTGCTATGAGAAGCAGCAGGGCACGCTAGATAGACAGCAGGCTTCAGAGGCCAGGAAGATCTGCACATTCTGGCATGTATGTTACTAAAGCTCTCAATCCTCTAGCCAACTTTCTAAGACTATGAGTTAGAAAGAGGTGCCAACCTACACTGGTAGAGGGAACTTCCAAGTCCAGGAGTTTCCCAAACCAATGAAATGACAGGTCCAATATCTGCCCCTATTCTTCTCCTAATGCTCTCCTTTATCTCTCCTGCTTCATTGGGACTTTGCCCTTTGGATGTCTAGAGAGGAAAATTTTGAGCAAAATGATGAAGTATGTTGATTTGTCTCCTATGTGGCCTTTTCCTTCCTTCTCAGTATGTATCCATCCTTTCCACCCGGCTCATATTGCCTTGGAATCTCTCCAGCTTCATAAGGAAAGTGATTAGTAATTCACTTGTCTGGAGGTATTAGTGATATGCTGGGTTACCCCTCTCAGGGGTATTGGCATTTTAAAAGAGAGGACTTTAAATCAGAGAAATTGAAGTCTAACGACGAGGTGTTAGGCATCTGACTAGGGGTGATTTTCTAGGGATGGAGAGAGATGTCTTAAATCACACAGGGCTGCCTAGTTGTACAATTGATTTGGGTCACTTCTCCTCCTTCACCTTACTTGACATTCTCCTCCTGTGTCCTTCCATCACTTTTTTCATCTTGGGAAGAATTTTTAAAATCCTGAGGCAGTAATACTTCTCCAAAGGTCCTACCTGAGACCTGCCTCCTGATCTGGGACCACAACCCAGTTCAGTGCTTCCTAACTGTCATATAGTAGACCAAACCTTATTTTTTAGTGCTTTTCAAAATCTGTTACTACCAAAGGTTCTTCTTAAAAATCAACTACATTTTCTTCCTGCATCCTATTTCTCCCACCCTTGATTCCCTCCTCCTCCTGGTTCTTGGCTTTTGAGCCACAGAGAATCATTAACTGAATAATCTGAAACAGAAAATTTAAAAATGATGCTGCATGAAAGAAATGAATTATCAGAAATGGACAGTGTGAATATATATATATATATATATATATTTTTTTTTTTTTTTTTTTTTGCTAGACTATGTATGTATGCATTTATTGACTTTATTTTGAGGGGTTTTAAAACATTTACTCAATGAAAGCAGCGGGAAGGACAGATGAATGAAAGAATTTTAAAAAAATATATAAAGGATGGCTCCTTGAGGAGGGGGCAGCATAAAGGGGAAAATTAATATTAAAAAACAAAACATCAATAACATTTTAAAAGGAATTACACTGCAGTTCTGAAAGGCAGCTATGGCCTAATGAATAGAGACCTAGGTTCAAGTCCTTTCTGTGATACATACAGGCTATGTGACCCTGGATGAGTTATTTAATGCCTCAAGCAAACTTCACATTTCAGAGCAGACGCCGATCTAGAGGGGAGAATTTCTTTGGGTGAGATCTCCTATAGCAGTGAAATCGGAGGTCAAGTCATTGATGCAGCTTTGGGACTTGGGTTACATTCTCTGCACTAACAGTGGTGGAAGTAAAATTTGGTTAGCTACTTAATATGCAAATGTTATTATGCTAGTAAAAACTTATGCCTCTTTTGGATGGAAGTACTGAGGCATAGGCATGTCTCTGGTTAGTAGAAGATGGAGGTACAGTCACCTCTCTCCTCTGGGAGCAAAGGTTAGGGAGACAATAGACCTATGCCTTATTCAGTGGTGTCAAATTAAGACAGAGAGGAATCCTTGCAGGTATATATTGATTTAGAAAACCACAAATAAATTAACATCATCTATGCTGTGCTGAATCTTTATTTATTCTGTTAAATATTTTGCAATTGTATTTAATCTGGTTCTGGCCTGCACCCTGGAGTTTTGTGGGCTGCTTGCAGCCAGTGGGCATCAAGTTTGATATTTCTGCCTTATGTCCTGCCTTGCCTTCTAGGCAGCTAGATGCCATAGTGGATAGAGTCAGGGAGACCTGAGGTCAAATCCTGCCTTAGGTACTAGCTGTGTGACCATAGGTAAATGACTTAAACCTACTCAGAGGCAGCTGGTGGCTCAGTAGATAGAGTGCTGAGTTCAAATCCCACCTCACACATATACTGACTGTGTGACCCTTGGAAAGTCACTTAATCTCTACCTACCTCAGTTTCTTCAACTGTAAAATTGGGATAATAATAGCACCTAGCTACAAGGTTGTTATGAGGATCAAAGTGAATAATATTTGTAAAGCACTTAGCACAGTGTGTAACACATAGTAGGAGTTATATAAATGCTTATTCCCTTTTCAGGCTTGTTTTCCTTATCTGTAAAGAGGGGATAATAATAGGACTTACCTCACAGGGCAGTTGTGAAGATCAAATAAGATTAAGTGTAAAATGCTTTGTAAGCCCTGCTACATTTGTTAGATATTTATGACCACAGTTCTCCTTCCAAGTTGGTATGCAGCACAAATAGTGAAAGTGATCAATGTCCTTCCTTCAGAGCCAACCATCAAAGATAAAATTCATTATTGTTATCAAAGCATTCTTTTTTTTTTTTAAAGGCAATTGGGGTTAAGTGACTTGCCCAGGGTCACACAGCTAGTAAATGTCAAGTGTTTGGCCTGAGGCTGGATTTGAACTCAGGTCCTCCTGACTTCAGGGTCGGTGCTCTATCCACTGGGCCACCTAGCTGCCCCCAAAGCAGCCTTGCTGGTCATCCTTGAGAATGAACGGGGATGTTCTTTAAAAGAATGACACCCCAAACAGCTAAAAAAGTTTTCATTACCTCCTGACAACTGGAAAACTAGGATCAGTGATGTAAAGAGATGATTGATGATCAGCGTTGCCTATTAAGGAAGAAGGATATCTCTGTGAGTAGGTCTCAGGGGAAACAAATTCTTTGACTAGCCCTTCTAGGATCGCTCCACACCATGCCAGGAAAATTTTGTGGAAAATACTTAAGGAAAGAATTTGATGTAAATATAAATAACAGACTCCACTGTAAAGTAGAAATTGCATTGTGTGACTTATTCATGATCCAGGAGACATGGGATCATGAGATCTCATCCTAGTAGCAACAACTCATGCTGCTTTCCTTATGAAGTGTTTCCTAGCTATCTTAGATTACCTTCTAAGCAAACTACAGAATATTTTTGTGACTTGAATATGAATCAGCTGGCTGGATTTATGCATGTTTGGAATGCTAATAAGGAAGGTAGTATATAACATTTTTATCAGTTGTAGTTACTCATAAAACAAAATCAATGCATGAAATGTATTCATTTCAACAATATTCAATGTTCAAGATAATTTTTGGATCAGTGCTATATTTGGGGATAAAATGGCCAATGCTTTTTTTATTTTATGTATGTCATGATACCATATTAAAAACATTCCTTTTGTTTAATATGAAATTAAATCCAGCAAGCATTTTAAAAAAATTGTTAGATATTGTTCCTGATATCTTAAAAACCTATACAAAGTCCCAACATTCATCCAACACGCTCTAAAGGGCATTTTTTGTATACATGAAGATAGGAAGCTATGTGCCACATTGTGGCAAGAGCCCTCTGTGTATGGAGTCAAGGAGAAGACCTGGGCTCAAATGCTGACTCCTTTATTCCCACAGCAGAAACTAGTAGAATAAAGGTAGGAGAAGAGATGAGGATTTTGCCCCAGGAAAGGCAATTGCCTAGAGCAGAGGGTAGACTAGAGGGCACTATAAGCAAGCAGGCAAGGTCAGCAGGGAGAAAAGAAAAATTAGGAAGTAAATGATTGCCATCTTCTAGTACATGAAGGACTGTTGCAGAGAAGAAAGATTAGACTTGTTCTGTTTGTTTTCAAAGGGTAGAATTAGAATAGAACTGACTGGTAGGGGGAGGAGTAGGGAGCTGTGTCTGATGGGCATTTCTTGACATTCTTATACAGAGGCCAAGCCTGTTAAAGTTGGCAGGACACAAGATCTGGCCCAGCCTAGGGTTAGGCCCTTTGTTCAATGAATCCCCTCAGTCATAAGTGTTGGTCCAAAGGCCCCTTGCAACGTAACTCCTTCCTTGGGAAAGAACAAGCCAGGGCCATTGATTAGCCTATAGAGGAGAAGGTCCTTGTTGGGGGAAGGGATATAGCACCTTTGCCCCTGCAGGAGGGACTGTGCCTTTCCAAGGATATCACTGTCTCCCTGTTGGCAGGGCCCTTGTCTTTTCTCTGAATTTTCCCCTTCTCTTTCAACCCCCCACTTTCTCCAACTTTCCTGATGCTTAGAGCCAAGGTGCTGGGAATGAGGGGCAGGTTGAAAGTGTAGTTGGCAGCAGAGGTGTGAGAAAGCTAGCAGCTCTTTCAGGGATCCTAGCTAGGCTCTGGTAGGGGACCTGCCACTTCGGAGAGAGAAACACCATTCCCTGGAACATGAAATTCTTCATTGTTTCTCAGAATGGTTTACTTTGGAGAAGAGTGGTAGAGGGTTGGGGCACTTCAGACAGAACAAGATTGTAAGCCCCTTGAGGGCAAGAAGATTGTCTTTTGCCTCTTTTTGTACACCCAGTGCTCAGCACGGTGCCTGGCACATAGTAGCTGCTTAATAAATGTTTACTAGTTGTTTTTTAAAAATGTTTATTGATTGAGAAGGCAAGATTTGAACTGGAGTCCTCCAATGTCAGTGCTCTTTCTGCTGAACAATAGGGTAGTCATTATTTAGGATACATTTTAAAGTTGAATTTGCATTATTAACATTTTCTCCATCACTTTCTTAAGTCTGAGGTGGAGAGGAGATGGGGAATGTGTGGCCTTGAGGACACACGTGCCCACACTATGTCAAGTCCTGATTGATAGCATTTGCTGATTTCTTAGGCGGAAATACTCATACTGAAAATATAACAGTTGGCTTCCTGATCAGCTGGCTCCAGTACATCCCTGTCTCTAAGGACCCTTCACAAGTCTGTGAATCTATGCTGCTCGGCTTCTATTTGATTCCATCTCAGTTCTGCCTCAATTTCAGTAAAAGTTGAATGAGTCTCCCTCTGTGACCTTGGACAAGCCAATTTCCATCTCTGGGGCCTCAGTTCCTATAAAAATGATGATCCCTAAGGACTCTTTCAGCTCTTACATGATACTTTGAGGGTTTTAGTAGGGCTGACTTCCAGTCCTTTTTCAACTCCATTCCCCAAATCATCTATCAGTTTGCTGTAAGGATCGATAATCCCTAGCCCCCCTTTACTATCTAAGTCAGATTTCTTAGATGCCAAGTCCAAGAAGAAACAGCTGAATTTAGCACCTAGTTATCAAGAATTGGAAAATGGCTTGGGGAGGGGAGGAAGAATCCAGGCCTGTAATTTTATTGGAGTAGGAAGCTCCCTATTGAGAAAACTCCTTCTGCTAATGTAGATCAGCAACTTCTAGTTATAAAGCTGCCAAGGGGCAAAGAGAAATTAAGTGACTTGCCCAGGGTCACATAGCTAGGACATCTCAGTTCCAGGGTTAGCTCTCTATCCACTTACCCAAGGGTGGGCCAATGACAGCATAATGCAGCCTGATGCCTCTTTTTGTAGAAGCTAAGAGAGTTATTATTTTTTTTTTAACATTTTAAAATACAGTAAACACATTGTGCACCAAAGCCTAAGGGCCACATTAGCTGATCCCTGCACTAGTCCATGAGAAACAGTGAGTAAGTTGCAAATAGCCTGATTCCTGTGATATAGTGGAAGGGCAGCTTTCCCAGTAATAGGCTCAGGGTGTCCTGGTGTCTATGTCTTCTGCCACAAGATGGTGGCACCCTCCTGACTTTTTTGTTACTTGCTACTTAGAGTTTGCAATTACCCCAGATGTAGAAATTCCAGTTAGGGCTCTGATGCCACTTACTAGCTGAAGTGAGTAGTCACTTAAGTTCTTTGGGTCTCAGTTAACACATCTATTAGAGGGCCCTGCTAAATGATCTCTTCTAAATTACCTAAAATCATGATCCTCTTACACAATCTGTTCCTGTCCCCTTCTCTTGGACCTTCCCTTCCTCTGAGACCTTTTTCCCCCGACCTGACTCTGTGGTTAATTTAAAGGCAGAATTCTCTTCTATAGGTCAGCAGGATCTTGTTTTTTCCTTTCTCTGGTGCATGGGAAGCAGGGGTTTGCTGGTAAATGTTTAACAATTAGCAGGACACATTTTAAAGTTTAATCTGCAAGGCTAACATTTTCTCCAAATAATCAACAGAACAATAAATCAAGCCCTGATTTGTAACATTTGCCAATTTCTGAGCTTTAAATGCTCACAGTGAAACTTTAGTAATGGGCCATCCCACGTCTTTATGAGCTGGCTCAGCACACCCCTGATTGGAGGTCTTCAAGTAGAGACAGGCTCATTATAGTGGGAATCCCAAGACAGCTAAGTGGCACAGTGGACAGAGCTCTGGGCCTGGAGTCAGGAAGATGTGAGCTCAAATCCAGCCTGTGACACTTACTAGCTGTGTGACCTGGGCAAATCACTTCACCCTGTATGCCTCAGTTTCAAATGGACTGGAGAAAAAAATGGCAAACCACTCCAGTATCTTTTCCAAGAAAACCCTAAATAAGGTCATGAACAATTGGACATAACTGAACAACAGTGGGGATTTCTTTTCAGGTGTGGGTTGGAATGGATGACCACTTAGGCTCCTTCCAGTTCTAAAATCCTGGGATATTGTTTTCTCTTTCATTCCTCCTACCTTAGCTTTTTTCCTCTCTTTTACTGATGCAAAGAACATTAGAGCTAGAGGGGAGGGAGGAGGACCTTAAAGATCATTTAGTAGCTATATTCTAACCCAGTCTCTCATTTCACAGATAAACCTCATAAACCAAAGCTCTGTAAGGTAAAGGGATTTGCTTGAGGTTACATAAAGTGGTCATCCGAAATTGTCAATTTCTACTCGGTCAAGTTAACAAGCATTTAAGTGCTTACCATGTGTCAGACATTGTGCTAAGCGTGGACCTTTAATCTCTCTTTAATTACTACATGCTGACTCAGTGTCTGAGGGCTAACTTGGCAGGGGGGAGAGCAGTGAAGACAAGACTGTTGTAGGCTCTGCTTACCGGGTGAACATTGAGAAGTCTTCCCACTTTTCTCTCTGCCTTTCCAGATGCCCTGGGTTGAGCTGGTGAATGTTCCTTGGGGGACGACATAAAGTGTTTAGAATTTGGAGGTTAGACACAGAAGCTTCTTGTCTCAGGGGCTAGAGTAATCAACTGATTCCTTACCAGGGGGAGGCTGGCCACTGTCCATGGCAGGCACGATCTCGTAATATGGCTTATGGCATGTGTAAGGCCTCTTATCTTGGTAGATATCTTCTCCAGACCTGGTAACATACTCAAAACCACCAATGGACAGGTTTTGGGGAGGGCTGCAGGTCATGACTATAGGGGGAAAAAAGGATCCATAACTTCTTCCTTTAGCCTCCTCTCACAAATAATTTCCTTTAAGTCACCCTGAGCATCTTCTACTACCCTTTCTCCGGCATGGGGTAATTATTTGGGGCAGGTCTCTCTGCCTTTTGAATTTGTAACAGATCTCTAACTGCTGAGCTCTTTCTTGAGGGCTACTTACAACTGAACACTACTTAGACCAGGTATACTAACCTTTCTAGTAGAGCCCAGAGTGAACAGCACTCTGCCCTAGTCCACCAACATTTGGAGAGAGGGGTTGAATTTCCTCTTCAAGATGACTACAGTCCCCATGCTTCACCTCTGGGTCTCCTGGCTAAAAATGGCACAATGGATCCATTTGACACTTTCAGCATCCCATTGCCATGATGCCTCTCTCCCAGGCTTATCTTCCTCGTAGACTCTTCAGGGACAAAGGCTGATCTCTCATGAGGACAGACCATCCTCTCTCCCTATGAGATAGTATCTGCCTTCAGTCTGTATTCTTTGAGTTGTTACCCTCCTCAGCTGATTCTGCTCCAGGTTCAGGCACAGCTAGTTACACAGAGAATGTGTTCTGTGGTAAAGGTCACCCTTTCTTCATAACCCTCATGGGATGGATGCTTACCCACAACTTGAGAGTAGACCAGGAAGCCCTTAAAGAAGATGGCAGTCCAGTTTTCCAGACTGGAGAATATTGTGTAGAAAGGCAGCTTCATTCTCTTCTGCTAGGACACAAAATCCCTCTTGCTGGAATAATTCCCTCATACAAATCCTAGTTCTCCACTAAACTGGATCACATGGGTCCAACGAACTGAGAACTAAAAGAGGAGGAGAAGAAGAAGAAAAAGGGGGATGACTTAGGCATAGTTTCATATTGGTTGCAAGACACTTTCTAGACTCTATGGTGAACTTCACCACATAAGTCTCTCTCTCCAGTTGGTCAGCATTACCCCAGGTTCAGATACCTCATCCACCTGGGAATTACTTGGAGTGGTATGAGGGCTCAATATTAGAAGTCAATGATTGTCTACTTTCCATAAATTCTTTTATCTGCCTGGTCCACTCCTGATTCCAAAGTCAGCCAAACATCATCATGTGCTCAGAATGTCCCCTTAGCCAACTGTGTTGCCATCTTCTCTCCTTTCAATCTGCTCCCGAAATCCCACCAATGTCAAAATAAGTGCCCGAGTACACCTCAAGTTAGAAGGCTCCACTGGTAAGTTTCCCTCCTCACTATTCTGTTTAATTTCCCAAATTTCACCTTTGTGAGGTTCCCTGTAATAGCCACCGAAATTCCCACCTTGGTGTAGAGAGCACACAGCATATTCTGATCCGCGCCTTTGAGTTTCCAATTCCAATCAGCACATAGTTGGTTCTCCCAATACTTTATTCTAAAAGTATGGAACAAATGCTTTCATATCTCCTCTCCATCCTCCTCCCATCCCAACACACAGACACACACACACACACACACATTCTCATTTCAACAAGGTACTCCAGCTTGTAAAGGAAAAAAAACCCTTCCACATACAGGCTTATGATGCCCTAACATTGTTCTTTCCCTTATGAAATATCAACATGGCTCAAAATGCTATGTTTATATTCTACTATATTTTCCCATTGGTTCAGAATCTCCCAATCAATACTTAAAAAAAAAATTAGAGCAGACAAACTTTGTTATACCACCTCATCTAGGAAACTTTCCCATCACCTAAAGCCTGACTAACCATAGGCGTCCTGCAGCATCTTCTTTGGAGTCAGAGGACATAGGTTTAAGTTCAGTCTCTGGTCACCTGCCCTTGGGTAAATCACTTAACCTCTGTGGGATTCATTGTCCTAGTCTGTAAAATGAAGGGGTTGGATTTGATGATTTCTATGGTCCCTTCTAGATCTAAATCTACAATCCTGTGGTAATCTTAAATCTACTCTGTGCATATAATATCAGTCAAGTAAATATAGACACTGAGGAAGAAACTTGTTACAGTGGGGAAAAAAAAACTGAATGGAATCCATGGATCTGTGACCTAGGATAAGTAAGTCACTTTACCTTTCAAGGTCTCAGTTTTCACACCTATAAAATAAAGGCTTGGATTGGATTATCTCTAAGGTCCCTTCTTGCTTTGATGCCCTGTGGGATTATGTCAAGTCTCTACCATCTGCTGTAATGGAATGGTGAGTTGGTTCAAAAAAACATCAAGATTTTTTTTTTAGGCAATTGAAGTTAAGTGACTTGCCCAGGGTCACACAACTAGTAAGTGTCAAGTGTTTAGTCTAAGACTGGTTTTGAACTCAACTCCTCCTGACTTCAGGGCCAGTGCTCTATCCACTATACCACCTAGCTGCCCCAAGATGTTTCAAAAAACATTTAATTCAATGACCATTTAGTTGTATTTGAAATGCACCATTATAATTACTTTAACAGTGGACTTGCCTTTTTTGTGTGTGTGTGTGCTTAGGCGATTGGGGCTAAGTGACTTGCCCAGGGTCACACAGCTAGTAAGTGTTAAGTGTTTGAGGTTGGATTTGAACTCAGGTCTTCCTAACTCGAAGGCCAGAGTTCTATTCGCTGTGCTACCTAGTTGCACCTGGACTTACCTTTTTAAGTATGTACTCTTAGATTCATAGTTGGTGGTTGTGTTTCCTTTAGCTTGAAAATCCTAGGTTTGGGGAAGAGTCAGCCTGGGGTAAAACATCTGCAGTGACGAATTTACTTAGAGGAAGCTAGGTGGCACAGTGGATAGAGCACCGGCCCTGGAGTCAGGAGAACCTGAGTTCAAATCCAGTCTCAGACCAGACACTTACACTTACTAGCTGTGTGACCCTGGGTAAGTCACTTAACCCCAATTGCCTCACCAAAATAATAATAATTCACTTAGAGACTAATTCTTATGCATCTGATCAAGAGTTGACTCAATTTACTTCAAGGATTCGTAATTTCATCTGTGGGCATATTCCTCCCAACAGATTTCAGTGTCCTTAGCACGTCAATGGATCTGTCATCTCACAGGTGTGAGTTTTCCCCATGAGACAGCTAAGCGGGTGGCATAGTGGATAGAGAACTGGACCTGAAGTCAGGAAAACCTGTCTTCAAATCCAGCCTCGGACACTTAATAGCTGTGTGGCCCTGGGTGAGTTACTTAACTTCTGTTTCCCTCAGTTTCCTCACCTGTAAAATGGGTGTTATAATAGCTCCTAACTCCCTGGATTGTTGCGAGGACCAAATGAGTGCCTGAAACATAGTAAGTGCTATGTAAATGTTAGTTATTATTATACTCTTGCTCTTATTTCTCTTTAGAAGATCTACCCAAGTCCTAGGAGCCTCTTTTCTCAGTATCACAGATATCAAAATTTGGAAGAGATCTCAGAGGTCATACTGTACCTGAACAAAAATCCCCTCTACAATATTCCCAACAACTCTTCAATGCATTCAGCCTTTCTTGATGATCTCCAGTGCAGGGAGAGCCCCAAATCTCCCAATGTGGCCCATTTTACTTTTAGGTAACTCTAAGCAGTTCTACCTTGTATAAATCCTACATTGATTCTTTGAACATTCTTCTCATTATCCTGGTTCTTTCTGCCTTTTGGGGCCAATCAGAATAAGTTTAAATACCTGATGATAGCTATTATATTATACTCTCTTATTTTTCTTTTACCCAGGTAAAATATCCCATTCATCACTATTATGGTATGAATTCAAGGCTCTTAACTATACTGATTGCTTTCTTTTACATATCTTTTAATTTCCATTATTCTGTTCAATATTCTCTTTACAATTACACTCTTAAATATACTCAAGATGATATGGCTTAATGGGTCTCTTCCCAAGCTTCCTTCAAACTTGTTTATTCCTCTATAGCTTCTTGCTATTGTGCAAGGTGATGCTACTCATAATTTTCCACTCTTCTTCTCTGGAAGATTTCATTGACAAGTTTATGGTCTAATAATAATACCAGATCCTAATAACAATATTGCATTTAAAGGCTTGCAAAACTCTTACATACATACAATATCTTATTTGATCCTTACAACAACCTGGTAAAGCAGTTGCTATGTTATTATCAACACTTTTCAGAAAAGAGAACCGAGGCTCTGAAAGGTTAAGTGATTTGCCTTGGTCACACAGCTAGCACGACAGAGATCTGAACCCAGGTCTTCTTGACTCCAGGTTCAACGCCCTACTCTTTGTATTGCTCATGGCTGCCATATTTCTCCACTTGATAAGAGCAAGTGTTTGCTTACTAAGGTTGTTTCTAATCTCTTTTGGTCTCTGTGTTGTGGCGATTGCTATACATTAGTTAAACTTCCTTAGGAAGTGGTGAAATTCTACAGTGGTGTCTGTTTTTTTCAACCCATTTCCCATTTTGGGGGCACCAATAGGTTGTTTAAATATGTCAGGTTGAGTTCTCTAAATTGAATGTTACATCTTATTTTTGTTCTCTTTCTAATTTAGTATTGCTTTTGATTTCAAACAAGCACACAGAAACAACTCAAGTAAAGAGAGGAGGCTAACCTGATTAAAAACCTGCAAGACTGCCAGAATGATGATGCCTTCAGTAAGGGAGAGGAAGAGGAAAAGTGTTTATATTGTGCCTATTATGTGCCAGGCACTATGCTAAGTGCTTTGTAAATATTAGCTCATTTGATCCTCACAGCAACCTTGTGAGGTGGGTGCTGTTATTATCATGTTTTTACGGTTGAGGAAATATTCAACAAAGATAGAGAAGCTTAGTAGACGGGAAGGTTTGGGGGAACACAAATAAATAGCAGAACTAAGATTCAGAAACAACTAAGGTTCAGAAACAACTCAAAATCTGTAACCTGTCATTTTCTGACTCTTACAATATAATCAATTTCATTTTTCACAATGTTGTTCAAGCGCTTATGACGTCTGTCTATCTAGTGCCTCTCAACCTTTTTCTCAAAGAAAATGATAGTTATAACCCTTTAGGATAGTCTACAAAGCTTTGGTCTCTTATTTCCTACTTCTGAGCCATGTTTTCAAAATATTTTTGCCATTCTCCCCTATATCCAGTGTAGGAGATAGATTGAAACACATGTGACGTAAGTGATGAGGCCCTACCTAGCAAATGTCTTGCCTTTTCACCACTTCCCAACCCACCTGACTTTCTCCACTCTGATAAAACTAGCATCTGGATCTGGCTCCATGCACGAACTTCCTGTAAATAACAGACTTATTTAAAGTAGCTCCAGCTCCCTCTCCAGAGCTATAGGCATCGTAGTACCCAGTCCTCCTACCAGGCAATATATTAAGGCTTAAAACATTGCAAGGATAACTACAATATTTCACACGATGACCATCACCAAGTCACACCAGAAGTGTAATTCTTTGTGCCTTTTGAAGAGATCTGTCTGTCTCCAAGGTTAAGTACACATTGGCTCTCTAGAAAGATGTCACTTTGTTTTAGCCTCCCGTTTAGGAAGATGGCTTTGAATCCTTGCCATCTTATCCATCCCATCAAGCATTTATTAAGCACCTCCTACATTCCAGGCGTTGTTCTTGATGCTGGGTATATAAAGACAAAACCAAAAATGTCCCTGCCCTATAAAAGAAATTTACATTCTTCTGGATTATAATTAGGAGGCACAAGAAAGTAAGGAGAATTTAAAGAGGAAGACGAACATTGGAATAATAGCTCTTAGTTAGTAAATTTGACTCCAGTGAAGCAATTCACTTCTTGAGGGGAATTGGATACCTCATGCCCCACAATCTATCCCCTATTTCTCGTGGTCTGGGTATTGACATGAGGAAACAACACACTGACAAAAGCCTCCCCACTCTTTCTCAAGAGAGAGAGGAGGTCAGGCACTTGCTAATGCAACCCTCAAGGAGTTATCTTTGCAACAAGTGGGTTTCTTTCAGCAATCCTACTATGTTTCCATCTTGTGCCCCAATTCTGATCCCAGGATTCTATGCCTGGCTACCCCCGAGGCAGCTGGGTGACGTTATGGGTAGCACACTGAACTTGGAGGAAGAAGATCTGAAGATCAAGTCCTGCCTCAGAATTCACTTAACCTCATCTATGCCTCAGTTTCCTCATCTGTAAAATAAGGGAGTTGGGCTTAGTGACTTCTAATATCTCTTTCAGCTCTATTTCTATGAGACCCACTCCCAACCTTCAGAGAGGTATGCCCATGAGGCTGTTCACAACATTTATAGATACAGAAGAGGCAGTATGATTTAATGGAAAAGGTAATAATTATTGGATTTGGAGGCAGAAGACCTTCATACGAATCTTAGTTCTGTTATTTATTTGTTTTCCCCCAAACCCTCCCCTCTACTCAGCTTCTCTATCTTTGTTGAATATTTCCTCAACTGTAAAAACATGATAATAACAGCACCCACCTCACAAGGCTGTTATGAGGATCAAATGAGCTAATATTTACAAAGCACTTAGCATAGTGCCTGGCACATAATAAGCACAACATAAACACTTTTCCTCTTCCTTTCCCTTACTGAAGGCATCATCATTCTGGCAGTCTTCCAGGGTTTTTAATTAGGTTACCGTCCTCTCCTTACTTTCTCTCACCTGACATAGACACTCAGGTGCCAAATCTTGCCCTTTCTACCTTCACAACTTTTGCCCCATCTTATCCCTTCTCTTTATAGGTGGGGCCACCATTGTTATTTCAAGGCCTCATCACTACTTGTCTGGACTATTGCAATGGCCACCTTAATTGCTTTCCCTGCCTCAAGTCTCTTCTCATGTCAGTCTAGCCTCCACACAGATGCCAGTATGATTTTACTTAAGCACAGATATATCCATGTCTCTCTAAATCAGGGATTCTTGACCTGGCTTCCACGAACTTCTAAATAAAATGTTTTAATAACTATTTCAGTATGATTGGTTTCCTTTGTAATCCTACGGATATTTTATGCATTTAAAAACATTTTTCTGTGGAAAAATTGGGACATTAATACACTGTTGGTAGAATTATGAACTGATCCAACAATTTTGGAGAGCAATCTGGCATTATGCCCAAAGAGTTATAAAACTTTGTACACCCTTTGACCTGACCGTACCACTATTAGGTCTGTTTCCCAAGGTGATGAGGGAAAAAGGAAAAGAATCTATATGTTCTAAAATATTTATAGCAGCTCTCTTTGTAGTGGCAAAGAACTGGAAAGTGAGGGGATGCCCATCAATTGGGGAATGGCTGAATAAGTTGTGGTGTATAATTGTGATGGAATACTACCATTAAGAAATGAACAAGTTGGTTTTAGAAAAACATGGAAAAACTTACATGAAATAATGCAGAGTGAAATGGTCAGAACCAAGAGAACATAGCATATAGTAACAGCAGTATTGTTTGAAGAGTAACTATGAATGATTAAGTTATTCTAATAATGAGTTTTCAAATCAACCACAAAGGACCTGCGAAGGAAGATGCATCCATCTCCAGAGAAAGAATTTTATAGGGAAGTATGTAGTGTATGGTTTCAAATATATATCTGTATTAAATGTTAGCCTTCTCTAGTGCATTGTTGGGAGGGAGGGAAGGACACAGCTTGGAACTCAAAACGTAACAAAAATTTTTTTTAAAAAGATTTAAAAGAGGAGAGGGAAGGGGAGGGTGAACATTATCCTGAAAAGAGTTTTAAGCTTTACCAAACCACCAGAAAGTTTGAGGGCCCTTGTTCTAAATTAATCAACTCCATATTGACTCTAGAATAAAATAATACACTCCTCTGGATGGCATTTAAAGTTCTCAAAATCTTGTCCCAAACTATCCCCTGTCTAATTATAAATCATTGCTCCTCTCACATTCTGTGGTCTTGTAAAGTCAAACTGGCTTTCTCTCTGTTCCTCTCACACACAAAAAAATCTCCTATATCTGTACCTTTTAATTAGCCCCACACCTAGAATGCCCTCTCTACACTACCCCCCACCCCCACCTCTGAGGATTCCTCACTTCTTTAAAGAGGCAGCTTAAACGCCACTTTTTACATGAACACTTCCTAGATCCCTCTGGTATCCCACCTCCCTAAGTATTCTGCATTTAATGAATACATATTTGTTTTGTATTTATTCTGCATATGCCTACATATAGAAGTGTTGTCTCTCCATAATGGAATATAAGTTCCTTGAGAACAGGGAATTTTTTTGTTTTTATATTCCCAGCACCTAAGCACCTAGCATAACAGCTGGCATACAGTAAGTACTTAAGAAATGCTTGCTGATTGATCAGCGATCTTGGGCAAATGATTTTCCCCAACTGGGTCTCAGTTTCTTCTTCTGTAAAACAATCTCTAAGGTTGGACTAACTTGATTTGTCAGATCATTTCTGCTTCTAAATCCTACGAACCTATATACCCCTTCCTCTACTCTCAAATTTGAAGGCAAATAGCAGCAAAGGAGCTCAGGTTACCAGTGCCCCTTCTGGTGCAGTGAAAGTCTCCCTAGTCAGACTATTGTTCTAAAAGAGGAGCCTTTGCTGCTGAGTTCTACAGAAACTCCATGTCCACTGGATATCACAGTCTAGCTAGGAGGACAGGCCTCGGCTTTAGGTGAAGCTTCTGGATGGTGCAGAGGGGAGGGAGACATACTGTATAGAATTGTAAAGGGCTCCCCGAAGGAACAGATATCACCTACCAAAATCTAAGAGCCAGGCTGGGAGGTGGAGTTCCTGGGGTAGGTCCATCCCCTCCTGACTCCTCATGTCAGAGCTTTCTACTCCATAGATCACCAAGAGCTTCCAACAGCCCACTAGGAAGATGGACTACCTCCAAGTCTTTGCCATTTCTTTTCCATGTGGCTGCCTCAAGCCCTCCTCCCCTACTAGTACTCCCTTAGAGAGCTCACTCACATCTCGTAAATCCAGGCTATAAGGCAGTCTTCCGGTGATTGCTCTGTAGGCTGGAGCAAGTGAATTTGTTCGCCTCTGGCAATGGAAGAGGAGGTGGGGCCAGGGTAGGACTTGGGGAGAATTACTGGAAATGAGAGCTGTGCTAGATCATGTTCTTTTACTAACTACCTGCAGAAGGCGACACCTGCTGTTGGAATAAGGGAAATCGCAAGGCTTTTTGGACTCTAGGTTTCTATCCAGTTTGGGCATAGGGCAGTAGAGAAATGTAAGGATTAGTCAATCTTCTCTTTTAAAATTTTATTTATTTTATTTCTAATTTATGAGATAAAGCAAGCGTTTCTATGACAAAATACAATAAAGATGATTGCCCATGAAACTGCAAATTTATTATGTACAACTTGCCATTTCTTTTAAATATATTATAAAGTTATCATGTAAATTTATTTTTTTCCCCTTTAGTCAGTCTTCTCACTAGAAAACTTGAAGGTGAGCTAGGATGCTCGGGGAGAAGGTAGAGGAAAGTTTAAGTGACTCATGAACCTGGTTGTTCCCTTCCCTCTCTACCTCTGATCTTTTTTGTCTCTTATGGCTTCCTTCTCTGTCTCCTTTATTCTATGAATCGTAATATTATTCCTTTCCTTTAGGGATCTGTCTGAACATTGGGAGCAGGTGGATTCCACCTCCATCTCAAGGAATGTAATGAATACTTCTGACCTCCTTCTTCCAGAGCCAGGTAAGATATATCTCCCTACTGCCCTCTAGGGACACCTTGAGGGAATTTTTTTTCCTAAGGGTGGGAGAGAGAAGAGGGAGAAATTTCTTCTATCAGCTCAAGCCCCACACAGTGCCTGGCACATAGTAGGTGCTTGATAAATGCTTACTGACTGGCTGACCTTGAGATCCAAAAATGCTTTGGTGGTAATCAGCTACAAAAGGAATTTGGATGTGTCTGTGACCCTCCCGACACTCAAATCTCAAATTCCAAAATACTTTACTGATTATATACAAGCCCCACAGGGCATGACCAAGTCCCTCAATATACCTTAATGGACTTTCTCCCATATTTATTTGAAACATTGGAGATGTCCAGGCCTTGCCCATGTCTTGTGAATAATACAGATGTTTTCTCACCTAATAAAGCTATCTTCTGAGCATAGCATCTTGTCACTTACTTTAAATGGGATGGGATAATTTGATTGATTGACTAAATTAACCCATACACCTGCATAGGGGTGGAGGGTCTTGGAAAAAGCCTGTTCAGCCTCCATGGAGAGGAGGGGAGGACTCTGGTAGATAAAATTCCTCTAATCACAGAATAAAAGACAAAAATGAAAAGAGAAACCCCTGTCCTCAAGGACATGCTGATGCATAAGGTTTAATGTAGAAGGTAGTGCTTGCTCTTGGAAGTAAGGAGGGAATGCATATGAAGGCATAGGGAGGAACACCATCATGTTATCCCATTTGACCCTCTCAATAACCCTGGGAGGTAGAGATAGGTGCTTTTATTATCCCTACTTTACAGTTGGGGAAACTGAGGCAAACAGAAGTTAGGTGACTTGCCTAAGGTCACACAGCTAGTGGGAGACCAAATTTGAACAAATTTGAGTCTTTCTGACTCCAGTCCCAGTACTCTATCCATGTCACCACCTAGCAACAGAAGGGACAATTTGATTAGACTGTAGGCTTTCCAGGGTAGAGTATGGGAAAGGGAGTGATGTATAATAAAGTTGGAGAGGCAGGTGGGGCCTAGGTTGTGAAGGACTTTAAATGCCAAACAGAGAACTTTGTATTTTAACCTGGAGGCAACAGGGATCTACTGGGATTTGTCAGTAGAGTATCTATACATTTTGGTAGATATCTAGAGATCATATTCACATACCATATTTTTTTTAGCCATTCCTCAATTAATGGACACTTATCTTTGCTACCACAAAGAAGGCTGCTGTGAATAGATGACTACAGATATTAATGAGAGGATACTTTGTAGAACTGCACAACATAACAATAAAATTCCCTTGGAAAAATGAAAGGTTTAAAATCTCAAGGGAACTAATGAGAAAACATGTTCATGAAGGGGACAAAGCATCGCCAAACCTGAAACTATATTATAAAGTGATAGCCATTAAAAACAAAACAAAACAAACCCCCATTTGCTACTGGTTAAAAAATAGAAGAATACATCAAAGGAAGAGACTAAATAAGAAATAGGACAATCCAAAATAGCAGTCCCAGTGTCTGTTAATTTCAAGAACATAAATTACTAGGGGAAGGACTCTCTTTTTGATGAGAACTGTTGGTAAAGTTAGAGAGCATTTTGCCAAAAATTAGGCTTACACCAACATCTTATATATATAGTTCAATAGGCTCAAAATATATACATGACCTAAGAAAAATAAGAGAAAACTAGATGAGGAACTTCTCCCAAGTACAGGTAGGGGAAGATTTCCTAACTAAACAAGGGATAAAGATGATCAGAAAAGAGAAAATAGATAATTCATTAACAAGCATTTATGAAGTGTTTATATTATGTCAGGCAGTGTAAGTACTGGGGATACAAAGGAAGGTGAAAACCTTCCCCTGAAGAGCTTATAGTCTAATGGGGGAGATGATCTGTAAACAGCAAACAGCAATGTTCTCTCTCTTTCTCTCTCTCTCTCTCTCTCTCTCTCTCTCTCTCTCTCTCTCTCTCTCTCTGCCTCTCTGTCTCTCTGTCTCTGTCTCTCTGTCTCTCTGTCTCTCTCTCTCTCTCTCTCTCTCTGTCTCTGTCTCTCTCTCTCTCTGTCTCTGTCTCTGTCTCTCTCTCCACACGCACACACGCACACAAGTTATACATAAATGGGGAAGTAAACTCAGTTGAGGCTTGTGAGCTCATAGCATTAGACAATCTCTCCACCAGAAGTACAAGGGACTGGAAGAGGCCTCTTGAAAAAGGTCTGATTTGAACTGTCTTGTTTGTTTTTAATAACTAACTTACTTATTTTTAGTCTTCAACATTCACTTCCATAAGATTTTGAGTTTTAGATTTTCTTCCCCTCCCACTCTTTCCCGCTCCCCAAGATGGCATGCTGATTTGAACTGTCTTGAAGAAAGCCAGGCAAGTCAGAGGGAGAGTATTCCAGGCTTGGGAGACAGCCAGTAAAAAGAAAAGTAAGGAGATGGAATTGTGCTTGAGGTACAGTAAGAAGGTCAATGTTGTTGGATTGTAGAATGTGTGGTAAAATGCAAGAAGACTGGAAAGGAAGAAAGGGGTTGAGTTATTAAAGGCTTTAAAAGCCAGAGAGAGGGTTTTATTTTTGATCCTGGAGGTAATATTCACTAGAATTGGTTGAGTTTTTAAAAGCTTTTGGATGCACAAAATCAATAAAGATATCATTAGATGAGAAACAGTAAAGTGGAAAAAAGAATACTTCCATCAACTATTACCAGTAAAAGCCTGACACTCAAAATATATAAGAATTGACACAGATATGTAATATCGAGTCACTCATCAACAGATAAGTGCAAAGAATATAAAGAGTGAGCTTTTGAAAGAATCATAAACTGTAAATGGTCACATGGAAATATGCTCCAAATCACTACCAGCAAGAGAAATGAAAATTAAAAAACAATTCTGAAGTTTTATCTCATACCATTCAAATTGATGAAGATCACAATAAATGGGAATGGTCAATGTTGGAGGGACTATGGAAAGTCAGTTACACAAACACATCATTAGTGTGGTTACAAAGTGGTCTTAACTGTTCCTTATGTATAAATTTGGAATTATGCAGGAAAAATGACTAAACCACTTGTATTTTTTGACCTAGCAATCTTACTACTGGGTATTATACCTCAGGGAAGTCAGAGACTGAAACAAAGGTCTAATATATTTTTACTTTAAGTTTTGCTTCAGTAAATGCATTTAGTCTCTCTGCCAGGTGAATTCTTTGGTGGTACAATGAAAAAGGAAGGAAGACTGGAAGTCCAAGTGAGTGGCAGTACATAAGCAAGGAGAATTAAGAATTGTTTGGATGAATCCAGTCTACTAGATTTTAAACACAAAATTCAGATCACTAGAGAAAGACTAGCAATTGTAGAGTTTATTCACACAAGCTGTTGGTAGCGACCTGGTAGCTAAAGCCTGGGGCTGCATGGGTGTCTGGAGCATTTAAAGAGGAGGAAGGGTTGCCTTCTCATCAGCTTTATTCCTGTACCAAATCTACTCTCAGGCAAATCTACTGTAAAAGTCCAGTGAACTGGGTTTCCCCTGTGCTGAAATTGCCCTCAGGCCCATTCTAGTTCAGTGGAGGTAAAATGTGTTGTAGGTACCACTACAAGACTACAGGCAAGGTGAGATGTTGCTTGGGGTCATCTTGGCCTTTCTCCTTTTTTTTTTTTCCCAAAGGAGAGGGTTCCAACATAAGACACAGGACAGGACAGGTGGTATAGGCGGTCACCACTGGCTACTTACTGCCGCTGACCAGTGAAGGCAGATCTGGGATGGAGCCTTGAGAAAAGCAGTGGCCAAGGTGGAGACCCTGGGATGGAGATGGGACCAATGTGTAGCAACTGAGAAAGAGACCAAACAAAGACATGGACAGAGCAGGGCTAACCTGGACTGACAACTACTGATGTACAGTAGCTGGTGGGATTGGACCAGGAAGATCAATTTCAACTCCTTGGTTTTATTTGCCCCATGATGGGGCTTCCCATTTTCTCCATTTGTTTGCAGAACCTATCCTAGAAAGTTCCAAACGTGTATTTTCTTCACTTATTTTCTTTTTCTCCAAACTTACCACTTCAGAGGTTTGGGGGATATGATTGGGATTGATAATTCCCTTACAGTTTTTACTTTACTATGTTTTTATAAGCCCTATGGACTCTGAAAGGTCAATTGTCTAAATCTTATAAATGAGGTTGCTAACTTCCTAAAATCTTCCTAGACAAATGGGGATGGGAAATAGAGTGAAATTGAGATTTCACATAATTTCATTTCCCTACCCCTGAGCTAGAAGGATACTAAGTTGGAACGAGAACGTGATATGAGGCTGGGAAATATCTAAGAGTCTGTAGGCAGACAAGCAATTGGGAAAGTGCAGCTATTACGGAAGCCTGGGCAGGCGCACTGGTTCTCCTCTGACAAAACCACTTGTCTGGTGGTTTGAATACAGTGCCACCTGCCGTCCAAACTATATACTACACTCTCTCGCCGCTTAATTTAATTAATAGGGTCACAGCCTGCTTTTCTATAGGCTTGCAGAAAGAGGAATGTAAACCTAAAGTGGGAACCTTACTGTTTCTTGGGGATACCCACCAAATGCCCAGGCAATATACATCAGAGTCACAAATCTAAGATTGGGCTCTACCCTGTCACCTTTGGGCAAAATTGCCTCCGCAGCAGAGAAGACCTGAACCAAGTTAAGTTGGAGGGTGTGGGGAAAGGTATTAGCTGCATCATACAAGTACCAAGGAATGCCTTCTTTATGACAGACATTTCCGGGTGCTCTTACAGTACCCGGCCCATTAGAATGGCTGCTGGCGGGGAGTGGCATTTCTGTTCTGTCTCCTCCTCATAAGGTGTCTTGTTTATTGTGGCCATTCGGTACCTGCCCCAGAAGTCCAGTTCCTATGATATCATGCTAATTTAGCTCATCCTCTATAGATAAAGAAAATACATGATTGAACAGATACTTATGAATGAGCCCTCAACACATAAAGCCCTGTATTACAGAGCCTTGGCTATTGGCATCCTCCCAGGAAACCTGAGATAATGTGTTCCCTATTATAATGAGGTTCTTGATGGCATCCCTGCCTGTCTCCTCTGGGAGCTTGACTTCTCAATCATTTCTTTTCTTTGTCTCATTTTCAACCTCTCCTTATCTACTGGCTCCTTTCTTACTGCCTATAAACATGTGGTAGGAGGGCAAATACTTCAGCAAGGCTTTTTATAATATTTGGTTTCCGTGGTTCTATGTCACTTTCTTTTGTATAATTGTATAATTTATATAATGGTATGATTTGCTTCTTAGAATTTTTTAACTACAAGTAATATCCTTCCTCATTTCGAGGAATGCAAATTAATTAATAGTGTGTTCTATAATACAAAAGCATACATACATTTTCATAAGTAGGCAGCTAAGTGATGCAGTAAATATAGTGTTAGGCCTGAAATCAGGAAGACTCATCTTCCTGAGTTCAAATCTGGCCTCAGACACTTATTAGCTGTGTGACTCTAGGCAATTCACTTAACTCCATTTGCCTCAGTTTTCTTATATGTAAAATGAGCTGGAGAAGGAAATGGCAAAAAAAAAACCCAATCCAAATGGGGTCATGAAGAGTTGGACATGATTGAACAACAACAACAAAATTTTTTACTAAGTATAATATGGAACTGACCAATGACCCCAACTCTCATGAACATTCAGAGAGTGCTCAGTTGATACAATCCCCATGTGGATTTTGGTGTGTATGTAAACATTCTGCAAATCAAATCAGATCAAATAGGATAATCCTTGTTAAAAAAATAAAAATGCTTAGCACAGTGCCTGGCACCTAGTAGGCACTATATAAATGTTTATTCTGTTCCTCTCTGCAAATAGTTCCAGTCTGCTAACCATGTGGCAAAGAAGACCCTCTTTGACTGACTGGATACTTAGCAAGAACTGGAGTGTATTCAAAAAGCTCAAGTCAAGCAGAACCTGCCCCTTTGCTTGGTTTAACTTTTTCTTGACTAGCAGCATTCTGGTGAGAGAAGAGGGACTGTACTGTAAAGCGATAAACCTATCCTCTGACATGCAGCAATTCCTCTGGCCCGAGGCTGGCTACAGATTCCCAGAGTGTCCTAGGGGTATCCCTGAGAGGTAAGGGTGTCTTTTTCTTTTTTTTTTTTTTTTGCAAGGCAATTGGGGTTAAGTGACTTGCCCAGGGTCACACTTGAAGCCGAATTTGAACTCAGGTCCTCCTGACTCCAGGGCCGATGCTCTATCCACTGTTCCACCTAGCTACCCCTTAGGTGTCTTTTTCTAATGCTGCTGGTTTGAGCCCCTATTCTGCTCCAATCCTCTCACTGTTAACCATCAGTGATTAATGCCACAGATCCATTTAACCAATTAACAGCCTTTCCAAAGGGATATTTACTTTGAAGATATAATAAAAACACAAGTACCGTCATCTTCCCTGTCCCAACCCCAGGGAAGTATTCTCTGCCTCAGTCTGAGGGGACAGTGGGCTCAGACTTAATGAAGTTTCTACACAGCATTGATCCTTCCAAGTCACATCCAAATGTGGCATCAACTGATAGATGAGTCCTGATTTCAACTAATAATTGGCTAGGTCCCACAGACCACCTTGAGGCACTGATGCTGGACTGTCTGCAAAACTTAGCCTTGGCTCTCCACTCAGATCTCCATTTCCATTCTCCTTCACTTAAAATGGAAGAACAATCAATATGACAATCAATTAATTAATGGGCCAATCAATGAATCAATCAACATTTATTAAGTACCTATATATGCCAGGCACTTTGCTAAATGCCTGGGGGGGGAGGGGAGGAAACAAAAAGAGGAAAAAGAGATCCCTACCCTCAAGGAGCTCACCATCTAATGGGATGGCGATGGCCTAATGTTTCTCTTATTACAGCATTATCTCTCTTCTGTCACTAGAATGCCACTAGCCAAGAAGTCAAACCAAATGAAGTGACAGTCTGGTCAACTACTGCTTTTGAAATGTACTCTGTTTCTGGCTATGCAGCCAATCAAAGAAGTGCCTCTTCTCTATGTGGTTAGCCGGTCAGAACCAGTTACAGAATGTCTGTGCATGCTCCCAAGTCCATCTGGGGGATTGCATCAGCCGAACACTCCACACTTGCTTATGTGTGCTGAGCTCATTGGCCAGTCTCCTATTTTGTAAGTAAGGTTATTATCCCCTTGTTATATCTTTGAGGTCTGGAAGTTTATTCACTTCTCCTTTGGAATCAGAGTTAGCATTTCACGTATAGAATCCCAGAGGATGGGTAAAAACCCACAACTACCTTTATGGCGCTTTTGATTTCCCTTTTGAGAGAACAACATAAAGTCACTTGGTTATCACTTGATAATTGGTATGTATCTCATGTTAATTGTCCCTTATTTTTTGCTGTTACCCCTAAAATCATCCAAGGGGAGAAAGGAATAAGCATTTATATAGTGCTTGCTATGTGCCAGGAACTGTGCTAATTGCTTTACTAATATCTCACAACAATCCTGGGAGGTGGGTGATGTTATTAGCCCCATTTCGCAGTTCAAGCAAACAGAGGTTAAATGACTTGCCTGGGTTGACACAGTCAGCAAGTACCTGATGCAGGGTTTGAACTCCGGGACCAGTGTCTTTATCCACTGTACCACCTAGCTGCCCCTAAGTAGTCTTCCCTTCTTTACCCAATAACAACTTCATAGATCAGTGCCCATCTGAGTCCCATAGCTTTTGACATCATGGATAAGATCTTCCATGTCCTCCATATTAGGCAACTTTGAACAAGTCAGGGAACATTCCACTCATATGCTCATTCCCCTCAACTAAGTACCCTGCTCAACTATTCCAAAGCATAGATCTGGAAGTAGAGGTAGTCAATCAATACGTTGCTGTACCGATCACCACCGCCATCCTGGAACCTCCAAAAGACAAAAAAAGGGAGTGAATATCTCTTGTAGACAACAGAGATAGGACTTTTTCTGTATCAAAGGGGAAAAAAAAGTTTGGAAGGAGTCTTCGGAGCTGTTGAACCACCACAACTCGGGGTGTTGCCATACCATTTGCCCCAATTTGGACACAGGTTTAGAGGCCCACAATAGCCCATGCTTGTCTCCAACAAGCCAACAAAAATATCCTTTAACAATCTCTCAGGACATAAGTCTTTTTTTTTTTTTTTGGTTTCCTATTCCCCTCCCCAGTTTGGATATTTGAATAACTATATAATTAGTCATTTGGAGAGACATTTGCCACTAAATAGAGGAATTGAAATGGGTAGGACAAGCTGATCAATCTCTTCCTCATTTTCAGATTCCTTCAACTCAAGAAACCCCTGTTTCAATTGCTGCAGTGAGTAGCCCTAATTTCCATGCCTAGATCTTTCCCATCTCAAAAATTCGTTTACTGAAAGGACATCAGGAAGAATCTGAAAACTTCACTGGGCCTGTAGCATTGGAGGTGAGCTGCCTTGGCTCAAATGTGTCTTAACCACATGTGTTCCTTGTCTGCGTGTATACTTCTCCTTTTGTGAACTGTGTTCTCTTCATGCTGATGCTGTGTGTATCGGTGGGAGGTTTAGCGGGGAAATGTTTTGCTGCTACAGCTTTTATTATGCCATCTCAGGAAATTCCTTTGCTTGGAGTTAATTGTATTTCCTGGCTAACTGGAGAGCAAAGTACAGAGATTGGTGAAGGCTTATGAGTGATAGTTTTAGGAGTAAAGGCCTACAGAATGCTTTAACCTGGGGTAATCATCTACCACATCTCCAAGTGCAAGTATGTGTGTGGGGCGGTATCCTAGAGAAGTTGTTGCATTGCTGTACAATGGGAACTTTATGTCTTTTATCTCCTTGTGGGCAAAATGTCAGAAGATATAAATATTTAAGTGACTTTTCTCAAAACATTGCAAATTATTTTCCAAAATGGTCAATTCAATTAACAACTCTGCCAATGGGGTATTTGTGTGTCAGGGTAGGGAAATTTAAAAGACCTTCTGATAGCACTTGTCCTCTAAGGAAGAAAGGAGATGGACACAAAGCCTGGTGTCAGGGTAGAGCTGTGGCAGGGCAGAGCTGGTAAAAGGATGTCAGTCAGGGCAGGAAGGCTTTCCACTATAGATGGGGGAACAGTTTGGCTCTAGCTCTTGGGGTTCCATTGAGAAGGGGCAGAATAGAGAATAACATTTTAGGCCTTAAGTTTGGCCTAGCTGAGGCAAGGGGAGAGATATTCATTCTTGGCCCAGCAAGCAAGTTCCCTTGGTGCCAACAAGAGCTCTTCACACATTGCCTCACAGCAGGCTGCGCCCAGAAAGTGGGGCAGACAGTTGTTGGGTAATGGTTGGAACCATAAATAAGATGTGAATCAGTTCCTCTACTCAGTTTGCCTCTGGAAGGAGGTGAGAGCAGTCGTCCATATGGGACAAGGCAGACAGGAACAAATTTTCCTGGCTCAGATCTTGGTGGGGTGGCCAGGGGAGCAGGAAGACCTGGCTGAAACTGTGGTGCCAATGTGGTGCCCTATGAACCAAAGGGCAGGGAAGGCAATGGTTTGTACAGCAAATAGGCTTATAGATAGGGAACTGTTTAGGAGAGGGAAAATGCTTTCCCTGGGTTAGGAGTTCTCAGTCACTTTTCAGCATAGTCCACTGGCTTGCTCTAGGAAAAGAATGATAATGGTGGGACAGTTGAAATGGGGCAAAGCCTAGGAGAAAGTCAGGCCTTCAGCCATTGTGATGGGGGGGCCCCAAGCCAAGATCTTTGCCCCTTGCTCCAAAGGGAATCTGACTCCCACTTGTCTACAGACCCCAGCCCTTCATCTCCCCTTGAAAGCCTTAGCCCTACCTTTTAATCTTATTCAGATGCGCCTTTGCCCCTCGCCCTAAAAGAATCTGGCTCCCTTTTGTCTATAGGCCCCAGAAAGGCCTTACTCTGGTCTCAAACCTTATGGACTCCCCTTATCTCCCTTTGAAAGTCCTAGCCCCACCTTTGATCTTGTGCAAATGCCTTTCAAACTTCTGCCTTCCTGTTCCCTCCATTAGCTATTCCCATTGTCTATTCAATCTCTCAGACCTTCCAATTGGAATTCTCACCTAGACCCTCTTTCCAGCCCCCCTTCTCTGGCCACCCAAAGTTACTTCAGTGTATAAAAATTCCACCCTGGCCCCCATTCAGACGCTGAGAATCTCAAGCTCAAAAGGCTGAGACTTTCTCATGCCCACTAGTGTCCTCATGGGCATTACCTGGCCTATGTGATTTATCACTAATAAACTTTTTCTCTGGCTGAAGAAGATTTGAGTTGAATTCATTCAGCAGGGCCCAGTACCGCAACCTTGGGGTGTCCCCCAGCAGCACCCCAAAAGTCCTAGACCTCTTGAATTGGAACCTTTACTTCCCTCTAAGTTTGGCCATCTTGGCCTCCAACTTTCTTGCCAATTTGAGGTTGGTGTGGAGAGAGTGAGCTTAGTGCCAGGTTGTGCCTAGGAGGATTGAGGAAACCCTCTTCCTTCCCCTTCCTGTCCCCCAGCCTACTTAGCTGCTTGTCCTAAGTCAAGAGATCAGGGACTGATGCACCAGAAGCACCAGTGCTCCAGGTGGAAGCCCAATTCCATCAATCTGATTGAAAGAGCCCTAGGGAGTAAGGAGAATTGGGTTCTAGTCTTGTCTTCAACACTAACCTTGGGTATCTCTAAAATGAGGGGATTGGAAAAGGTGGTCTCTAATGTCCCTACAAACTCTAACAGTCTATGAGTCCGTGATCCCTTTGATTCTTCCTCAGCTCAGTTTAAATTTTAGTATGAGTTGGCTGAGTCTTTTTTGTGACTTTGGGCAAGTCACTTCCATGTGTTGCGGTCTCAGTTTCCTCCCCTTTAAAATAAAGAATGGAGTTTGATGATCCCTTAGGACCATTCAAGCTCAAATATGATATTTTAAGATTTTGGTGGGGTTGCCTTCAAACTCTCTTTCAACCTCTCATAAAAGCATGTTTGAGGATTATGACAATTAAAAAGGCTTGAGAGACATAGTTTCCGGGTTATTTAGTCATTTTATTAATAAGGCCAGCATGTTATTAATAAAAGAATGGCCATTTGGCCCTCTCTCTTAGACGAAACATAATCATAGTGCTAGGCTCACAATTTATATACCTTTCTAAGAGTAAGTGTTCAGTGAGGGTCTGAGAGTGACATTGGTCACCCTTAGAGCAATTATCTCTATACTCAGGTACCCCCAGCCTTAGGCTATTTATAGAAAAGGATCTGTCTCCACCCAAGCTTAGGTAGAACACAATGGGCTTCCCCACTTTAGATTTAATGCCTTGTAAAGTTGAGTGGGTTCGAACAAGTTTGAGAAGAGTTAATTCAGCCTCATTATCAATAATGTCCTTCAAAGACTGAACTTAAAATCAAGACTTTGGAAGAAGGGGAGAGCTCTGAATCTTCCCAAGATATTTGTTATTAATAATCATTTCTCTCAGAGTTATTGCTCCCCACTCCACCCCTTCCTAGCATACAGGATTCTCGAATAACAATTATGAAGAAACAACTGGCCGCAGCACCTAATTATTAAGAATAATTGGTTAAAATGGTAAGCTGCCAAACAAGCCACTTCCTGTGGATTGGGAGTAGGTAGCCTCCCTAACAGCAGCAGGAAGTATCTTCCCAAGAGGGTCAGTGTTGTGAGGTCTATGTCACCCTCATCTCCATTATGATCATGTTCACTGTTCTTTCCATTTGAGTGTGCTTTTCATGACCATTATCCCAGGTACTGTTTGTGATGCTTCCTCTGGGTACTGTTTGTGATATGTCCTCCTAGCTACAGTTAAATTCAAAGGGTCTTCATTTTCTTGATAATTCTTCAGACATGGTCAAGGGATGAGTGCTTCAATATTCTCAAGAAAGGTCCTTACTCCTTTCTGAAGTATGATGTGACCTAAATGCTCGACAGAGGCTCTGGAGAACTGGTGCTATGAGCTGACATCTTTGGACCACTGGCTCCTAGTAGTCTTTCCTTATGCTCATCTAAAATCTTTCTTACAATATGGTATCTTCAAACTAAATCAACACCTCCAAGACCTTAATCCGTAACCGCTTTCTCCATAAATTGCTACTCCTACTAGTGACAGTCCCCATGGATGCTAGGGAGTCTTGATATCTGGAAAAGTGGAATAGAGAGCTTTGCCCTCTACTGCAGAGTATCCATAGGTATTCTATGACTGTTTCTTGTGGGCTTACTGAATGATGACAAACTTTTAATTGGCTGCTGAGGTAAAACTGAGTGTACATAGGAAAGGCACCAGATCTTTCCCTTTCCTTCCTTGGAGCTCCAAAGGGCTAGTAGAGGTCTGTCCTTACTTCCGCTAGACCAACCTGTGAGCATATGGCTTCCTAGGTAAGTCTGTGTCTGGGAGCAGACCTGTTTATGTTTTCTTTCCTCTGTACAGGGCCTTGTGAGATTTCAAACAGTTGGAAGAACTACCAGATGTCCAGCAATCAAATCTGGAAAGGAACCAGGAGGCCTGATGAAAGACCTACGTGACCCATACCAGTAGTGGATTGACCTGAAGATAAGACATGTCCTGAAAACAGGGGATAACTCCAGTCATTGACTATTCCACATTGAGGAACTTGGTGGGGTGAATGTTTTATCAGCAACCTGGTTAAGTTTGAATCCATTCTCTCAAGGGATTGAAGTGGTAGAGGGAAGAGTGTACCATTGGGTTGAGGGAATGTGTTTGTATTTCTGTCCCTCCTACACCTTCTCAGTAAACTTCCCTTTGTAAAAGTTAATTGATGTTTGTTGCTTTTTGATGTCAAGGAGACATCAGAGGGGCGGAGCCAAGATGGCGGAGTGAAAGCAGTGACTTGCTTGAGCTGTCCTCCAAACCCCTCCAAACACTCATAAAAAATGGCTCTAAACAAATTCTGAAGCAGCAGAACCCACAAAAAGACAGAGTGAAACAAATTTCCAGCCCAAGACAACCTGGATGATTGATCAGAAAGGTGTATCGCGCCGGGCTGGGAGTGCAGCATGGGAGTGCAGGCTGCAGCGAATGTGGAGCAGGCCTCAGAGGAGTGAATCACGGGCACCTGTGGAGGTTTCCAGACTCCTCAACCCACTAATGCCAAAGACAACTTAGAAGGTCAGTGGGAAAAGTCTATTTCTGTCGGTGCTGAGAAAGGAAGGTGGGGTCTCAGCTCCATTCCCCAAGAGCGTGGCCCTGGGGGGGCAGCTGCTTCCCGAGCTTCTGGCCCACCGACTGAGGGGGAATCCAGTGGTTGATCAGAGAGGGACTGCAGGGATCTCTTTGCCAGTGCTGAGGCAGGAATCTCTTGCTTTGCCCGTGTTTGTATCTGGGTCACAGTTCTGGGTGGTGCTGCTGGGGTGAGCAGGAACACTGGTGTGGTGGAGCTTGTAGTGGCTGTGGAGAGGAACCCCTCCTCACAGTTACAGGACAGAAAGGAATACTTGTGGTCACAGGCCAGGAAAGGAGTAAACACCTTGCCCCTTATCATACCACCTTGGAAGAACTGAAAATTTACAGGTCCCTACAAGTATCTCTGAAAACAGCTGTACAAACCCCTGAAGCTTGGGACAGTACATTCTCCACATTGGAAGCAGACTCTTACCTTAACAAAGAGTTTAAAACTCAAGTAATTGGCTGGGATCATGAGCAAGCAGCGCAAAAAGAGTCAGACTATATTATCTTACTTTGGTGACAAAGAAGATCAAAATATACAACCAGAAGAAGACAACAAAGTCAAAGCTCCTACATCCAAAGCCTCCAAGAAAAATATGAATCAGTCCCAGGCCTTGGAAGAGCTCAAAAGGGATTTTGAGAAGCAAGTAAGGGAAGTAGAGGAAAAACTGGAAGAGAAATGAGAGTGATGCAAGAAAATCATGAAAAACAAGTCAACAGCTTGCTAAAGGAGACCCAAAAAAATACTGAAGAAAATAACACCTTAAAAAATAGCCTAACCCAAATGGCAAAAGAGGTCCAAAAAGCCAATGAGGAGAAAAATGCCCTAAAAAGAAAAATTGGCCAAATGGAAAAGGAAGTCCAAAAGATTACTGAAGAAAATACTTCCTTAAAAATTAGAATAGAGCAATTGGAAGACAGTGACTTTATGAGAAATCAAGACACTGTAAAACAAATCCAAAAGAATGAAAAATTAGAAAACAATGTGAAATATCTCATTGGAAAAACAACTGACCTGGAAAATAGATCCAGGAGAGAGAATTTAAAAATTATTGGACTATCTGAAAGCCATGATCAAAAAAAGAGCCTAGACATCATCTTTCAAGAAATTATCAAGGAAAACTGCCCTGATATTAGAACCAGAGGGCAAAATAGAAATTGAAAGAATCCACAGATCTCCTCCTGAAAGAGATCCCCAAAGGAAAACTCCTAGGAATATATAGCCAAATTCCAGAGTTCCCAGGTCAAGGAGAAAATATTACAAGCTGCCAGAAGGAAACAATTCAAGTACTGTGGAAACACAATCAGGATAACACAAGATTTAGCAGCTTCTACATTAAAGGACCGCAGGGCATGGAATATAATATTCCGGAGGGCAAAGGAGATAGGATTACAACCAAGAATCACCTACCCAGCAAAACTGAGTATAATCCTTCAGGGGAAAAAATGGTCATTCAGTGAAATAGAGGACTTTCAAGCATTCCTGATGAAAAGACCAGAGCTGAATAGAAAATTTGACTTTCAAATACAGGACTCAAGTGGAACATGAAGAGGTAAACAGGAAAGAGAAATCATAAGAGACTTATTAAGATTGAACTTTACATTCCTGCATGGAAAGATGATATTTATAACTCATGAGACCTTTGTCAGTATTAGGGTAGTTGGAGGAAAAAAATTATATGTATGTATAGATAGATAGATAGATAGATAGATAGATAGATAGATAGATAGATAGATAGAAGGCACAGGGTGAGTTGAAGATTAAGGGGTCATATCTGGAGAATAAAATTAAGGGATGAGGAGGATATCAGAGAAGAAGAAAGGGAGAGGTAGAATGGGGTAAATTATCTCACAAAAAAAACAGAAAAGAAAAGTCTCTTACAGTGGAGGGGAAGCAGGGGAAGGTGAGAGGGAATGAGTAATCTTATTCTCATAGGATTTGGCTTAAGGAGGGAATAACATACACATTCAATTGGGTATGGAAATTGTCTTACCCTAAAGAAAATAGGGGGAGAAGGGGACAAGAGAGCAGGGGGATGATAGAGAGGAGGGCAGATTGGAAAGGGTGTAATCAGAAGTAAATACTTCTGAGGAGGACAGGGTCAAAAGAAAGAATAGAATAAATGGGAGGGCAGATCAGGAATAAGGGAAATAGAGTTAGTTTTTCACAACATGTCTACTATGGAAGTGTTTTACATAACTGCACATGTACAACCTATATTGAGTTGCTTGCCTTTTCATTGAGGGTGGGTGGGGAGGGAGGAAGAGAGAAAATTTGAAACCTAAAGTTTTAAAAACATATATTTTAAAAAAAAGTTTTCACATGCTATTGGGAAATAAGAAATACAGGAAATGGGGTACAGAAGTCTATCCTTCCCTATAGGAAAATAGAAGGGGAAGGGGGTAAGAGAAGGGAGGAGAGAAAGAAAAGAGGACAGACTAGGGGAAGGGATATTCAGAATGCATGCCATCTTGGGTTGAGGGGAGGGTGAGACGGGGTGAAAATTTGGAACTCAAAAACTTGTGGAAATGAATGTTGAAAACTACAAATAAATTTATATCAAAAAATAAAAATAGAAAAGAATGAAAAAAAAAGGAGACATCAATTGGCTAAACTGATAATTGGGCACTAATCAATTATACCGGTGATACTGAGGATTAATGGTCCCTTGTCTATTGATATTGAAAATATACTGGAATGAGGCTGGTCATATAGCATTAGGAAGACACCCTAACCCCTCCGAGGTACCCCTAAAACCTTGAGAGAGTTATGCAGCCTCTCTCTGGGGACCCAATTTGCCATTGCAAGTGCAAGTTGGGTAGAGGACCCCTAAAGTCTTGATACACACAATTTACCTCCCCAATCACTTGTTCTTTGCATTATCATGTATTTCTATGTGTCTGATTATAAGTGAAAAACCCTGGCAGCAACCCACATCCTAATTTGTGTGATTAATGCTGGCATTAACAGAGATTTGGGAAGAGGCTTGACCCTTTTAAAGAGACAGGAGACACTGTCCCTCTATAAGCATGAAATTGAGATCCAGGATAGAGGTGGACCTATTTCCCATTTGTATTTCCTGCAAGGAAGAGATAAACCATAATCATAGCTCATGGGGAAGAAACAAGCTTCCCATATATTTTTGTTATTCATTCATTTCACTTGTGTCCTACTCTTCATGACTCCATTTGGGGTGCTCCTGGCCAAGATACTGGAGTGGTTTGCCATTTCCTTCTCCAGCTCATTTTACAGATGAGGAACTGGAGCTAACAGGGTTAAGTGACTTGCCCAGGGTCACACAGCTAGTAAATGTCTGAGGCCAGATTTGAACTCAGGAAGATGAGTCTTCCTGACTCCAGGGCCAGTGCTCTATGCTTTGTACCACCTAGCTGTTCTTTCCCATAAACAGGAGAGTGAGTGTATAAACATACACCATAATTTATACATACCTAAACCAATATAGATAAGCTCTTGAGGAAAATTAGAGTCTGGGCAAGAAAAGCCTAATGAGAATAGTATGCTGAGTCAACTCTTCCTCCTTGACCAGTTTCACATCAAATGATACTGGGAAATCTCAAGACAGCCTCACCTGTGACCCCCTTCCTCTATTACACATATACCCTCACAATTATTCCAGCTGCCTATGTCTTCTTCCTACAACCCCAAGATGCCCTCTAAATACACACCCCTTTATCCCATTCCTAACTCCAAACTTTCTTGTGTAGTATATGAAGTCTCTCAACTCAGAGCATTTTCTCTGGCTCTCCTCCATGCCTGAAATCCCCTCCTCCTCCTCATCGCCACCTCATAACTTCCCTGGCTCAGCTAAAATTCCACTTTTGGTAAGAAGCTTTTTCCTGTCTTCCTTAATGTTAGTGCCTTCCCTCTGTTGATTATCTCTAACTCATCCTGTATACATCTTGGGGTTTTTTTTGTAATTTTAAATTTTTTTTATTAATTTATTTTGATTTATTAATAATCACTTCCATGTGCTTGAGTTTAAAATTTTTCTCCCCCTTCCTCCCCACCACCCTCCCCAAGATGGCGTACAATCTGATATAGGCTATACATTTACATTCTTATTAAACATACTTTCATATTAGTGGTGTTGTAAGTAAAAATTAAAACCAATAGGAGGAACCGTATACATCTTGTTTGTGCATATAAATGACCTTGTATACATCCTGTTTGTATGTTGCCTCCTCCATCATAGTCATGACTCATGAGAGCAGAGACTGCACAATAGTATTCCATTACATTCATAGACTACAATCTGGTTAGCCATTCCCCAATTGATGGGCATCCCCTCAGTTTCCAGTTCTTTGCCACCACAAAAGAGCTGCTATATTTTTGTACATGTGGGTCCTTTTGCCTTTTTTATGAAGTGTCTTCGTATTCCTAGCACTTAGCACATAATAGACACTTAATGAATACTAATTGACAGACTATAACTTAGAACGACCACATATCTCAACCTGATGCCTCCTTTCCTCCTTTCTAGTGACCCTAAAATTCTATTGATGCCTGGAAAAGTGCACCCCTTAGGTGTCCCCACACAGCAGACTCTCCTAGCTTCCTAGCTGGCATTC